CAAGGAGGAGGATATGCAAAACTCCGACGTCAAACGCCTGGAGTACTTCTTTTCGGACTCGTTGGGTCTTCTCTTGAACTCCTTCACGGCGTACAAGACCTCGTCGGCGCTAGTAGCCTCGACCTTCTTGTGGGCCACTCTCACCACACCAAACGAGCCCTTGCCAATCACCTCCTGGCAACGGCCGTACTTCTCAACAAAAGAACGGCAGTCCTGCTGGCCCATGGGGTCTAGTAGCTCGCCGTGCACCTGGTAGGGAGAGGTGTTGTTCTTGACCTGGTGGACCAAGCCGGCGAAAAGCGTGGGAGGCTTCTCCGGATCGGGCTTGTTTTCGTTGTTTTGCACGGGCGAGAGGAGGTTGGGCACCGCCAGCTTGGCCTCGTCTCGGAGTTTCTTCGCACCCAAGAGGTCCTTAAGCATGTTGCTGAGCTTCTCCTGGCGCTTCGTGGCACGGAGATTGTGCTCGTGGTAGCCGTCCTCGATCATCTTGAACCGCAGCTTTGGAGGCGCCGCTGGCAAGTTTGTCTGGGACGCCAGCGGCAGCACATTGCCCAGAGACCGCAGCGTGCTTTGCGGCGTCTTCCTCTTAGCACTCAGCGATCTCAGCACAGAGGCCAGTTTCAGGCCCGGAGCAGGAGGAGCCAGAAGCCCGCTTGGCCCCAGACCGGAGGTTTTACGTGGCGCCTGGTGGGAGTTGGCAGACAGAGGCCGTGATGAGGGCGGCAGTTTCTGAGCAAAGCCGTCGTGGAGAGCCAGCATGAGCGGCTGTGGATGGACCAAGTGGTCGTAGGAGGCGGCGGGGGCGCCGTTGGAGTCGGAGTTGACCGAAGTCCCTGACGGCAGCGTGGCGTTTGCCTTTCTGTCAGCTGGCAAGGGGTACAAAACATCGTCTTCTGGGATCGGGGGCGAGGCGATTTTGGAGAATTCGGCCACCAGCACGCCGTGGGGGGACTGGGGCGCCAGCAGCAGCGGCAGAAGCAGCCATTTTTCTCTGTCTGGCGTTTTCAGGTGTTGTCTTTCAGGAGACTTTTGTCTGTCCTTGTCCTTTTCGTGGAGGGACAGGAGGTGGAGGGAGGAGGAGGAGACGCCAAAGAGGCGGCCCAACTTGGACATTTTGGAAGTTTCGGGCTTTTTCTGTTTTTCGCCCATCTTGATGAAGAAATGTGGCTAAGGACGTGCCTCAGGCCTGACCGTTAAGAATGAAGCAGGTGAGTGTGAGAAAGAAAAAAAAAAAAAAAAAGGCCGCTTTGACGCACAGAAGATAAACAGAGGACCGAAAAAATAAAAAACAGGAAAAGTTCGGGGGCAAAATAAAACTTTAATAATGGGGCGAGCCGTGGGTATGGGCCAGTAGGATTATGACAAATATTACTGAAACGAGCGGGTCTGGAGTTAAGCAAGGCAGCATGAGGCTGAGGCTGAGAAATAGAGTCTGGCTGCGAAGACCAGGTGGAGGGGGTCAAACCCAAAGATGAGATTTAGAGACTGGCATTTGAAGCTTGGAGGGCACCGTATTCAGCTCCAGTTCATCTTAACAATTTGTAAAAGCTGTATTTTACAGCTTCGTTTCACCATCGAATGGGAGTCCCTCCCTTTGACACCTTTGACTAGTGAGATGCGAAGGCATACTGCGGATTCCGTTGGAGCGGCTAATAGCCCTTGCGCTTCAGGCATGGATGATTTGAAATCATGCTTTTCACCAACAGGTTGGTTTTCTGGCACCTAGCAACTAGGAGGTGGCAACACAATGGCTGCAAACCGCGGTGTCACCTGGATGGCTGTCACGGGCTTGAAACGAGGGAGGGGAGGAAAGGCCCGTGATGACTCAGAGCCAAGAGTCTGGCAGTCATGGAGGGATTTGATTTGAGGTGGTTTTCTTTTTTTGTTGGTACCCGTGGGTGGTGACTATGTGGTGGAGGTCTGGCTAGTAGCTTTATTCCGTTCCGTCGCAGCGCAAATATGCCCCGCTGACATCATAACCTTGGAGGGAGAGCTGAAGTCTTCAGCCGTGGCAGTGATCTAGCTGTAGGTGGTACGGTCTAGAGCTTTTACAGAATTGACTCTTCTTTTTTTTACTTTCTTTCCAACACTTTCGGCCTTTTTTTGTCTATCAAAGTGACGCCTCGGTGGCTTCGGGCTCGGATGCCAACGGCTGTCCATCGCATGTCTTCAAACCATTAGCCGCAAAAAGCCAAAACATCAATTTCCCACACCGCCTCTCTGTGCGAGCCCTGTAACTGTCTAGTCACTCGCTTCTGTGCCTCTCACAGCCTCTCACATTGCCGTGCGGCCCAGACAGGTATTAGACAAATCAGATTGGTCAGACTAGGACAAAAGGAGGATGGAGTTTTTTATTTGGTAGGTGGTTGCGGAAAGCATTTACGTAATTCTTTTGAAAAGGTTCGTTGGGTGTTGTGAATTGCGGTGTGGTGAATGTGTCATTCGGAGATAATGGGAGCCAAGAAAGAAGTAGCGTTTGACGGGTGACACCACATTGTTACGGTGGATGAGGTGAAGTGGGAGCGAACAGATAGGGATATGTGATGAAGGGAAAGGCTTCAAAATGGGCTTGAATATGGACCCTGGTGACAAAGCCACAGTTAGTCAGGGTTCTCTGTTTTAGCGCATGCATATGTATGTACCCTGCTTGAGGCCTGCTCCTGCTTGGAGCAGTCTGCTTGAAGAGCAGCATGAGTGGGATGAGGATGGGGAGAAATGGAAGAGGTCTTTGGGCGTTGGATGGTTTTGATAGTGGGTGTTGATGTTATTGAAGGAGTTTCTGAAACTACTCTTATTGTGCTTTTTGCGTGGATGGTGTTATTGACTTGCTTCCCTGGGGTACTGCCTGAAGATGTGTAAATTTTGCAGCAGGTCGTCTTATTGAATCCTTATTTTTGAGAAAGAGTGGCCTACTGGCATTAGTCTCGAAAAGATGGGCATCTTTCATTCAACCAGGTCGTCTACACTTCATCAAAGTTCACAGATCCCACCGTCGTACCGTACTACAGAGCCATCTGTCATTTATCATCTAAATTAAGTCTTGTCTGATTCTTCTTGTACTCTTGTCACTTTTCAGCGTCGAATGAAATTGACGATGCTATGTTACTGCTTCACTCGACCCAAGTAGATCGAATTATTGTTCCGTTCACAGGTCAACCAAAGAGGAAAATCCCAGCTAAAGCAACCCCCTAGCACATACAAAGACTTTCAAGTACGCCCTCGAAATCACCCCATCCTCATTGACCACGTCTCGTCAACTCTGCTGCAATATTTGACGCCTCACCATCCCAGATCAGTCGTCTCCGAAACTTCTGAAAAGGCGCCTTATTTTGGCTTTCTTAACAACAAACAAATCCAGCAAAGAGATGCCTTACAAAATCTCTGTACCTCCTCCAACATCTTGCTCCCACCACCCTTACCCTACACATCCTTACCGTAATACGTGTATCCTAGTGTCTACTCCTGGACAATGAAGTCCTTGAACTCCACATACGCCTTTTCAAGATCGTCGTTCACCACAACCTTGTCGTGAGCACCGGTTTCAGCGTACTCCATCTCGGCAGCAGCAGCAGCGATTCTCTTGGCAATGGAGTCCTCCGTCTCGGTGCCTCTCCCCGTCAATCTCTCCTTCAAAACGTCAATCGAAGGCGGACTCAAAAACAAGTAACGAGCGTCAAGCGACGACTGCTTCACAGCCTTGACGCCTTGCATATCAATGTCCAAAATACAGATTTTGTTCTGCTGGGCCACGTCGTCCACGGCCTTGATGGACGTGCCGTAGTAGTTGCCCGAAAACTGGGCCCACTCGATGAACTTCTTCTCCTCAATCATCTTCTTGAAGTCATCCACCGTGGTGAAGTGGTAGTCCACACCGTCCTTCTCACCGGCTCTTGGAGATCTGGTGGTGTTGGAAACGGAGAAACCAAATTTGTCTGGGAACTCAGCAAGGAGCTTCTTGAGAAGAGTCGACTTGCCGGTACCGGAGGGGCCGGAGATCACAACTGGTCTGGGCATAATGAATGAAGAAGTCAAGTTGGTTTTTTCTCAACGCGCACCGTGTAAAAGTAGCGATGGATGGGTACAGAGGGGGTGTGGAAAGTGGTCAGGGGATGAAGTTTTGGGGCATTTCACGGAAGCAATAGTTTGGAGGGAATGGAGTTTTTAATAAAAAGTCACGTAAAAATTCACTTTATTGGGCACTCTTGTGTTCGTTATTGTTACTGGAAATTGGCTGCGAAATTTCAAGAACGATCGCGTATGGAAGGGGAATGTAGAAGAAGAGAAAGAGCTGAATAAGCGTGATTTGGATAGAAGGTTGGATTTTTCAATCCAGATTATGACAGATTGGCTTCATATAATTGGACGTATTATTTTTTGTTGGTGACATGTAGTATCATTATTCATGGTAATCAGGACCATCCAAGCGAGGCTTTGTGATAGATGTATCATTGTTCACAGACCATCATGTACTTGTAGGCTTCAAAGGGAAGAAACACCACCAGACGTCATTCATGAAACTCTTCTATAGATAGCATGTTTTCAGTTCACTTACAGTAGCTATTCGTAAGATATCTACGCTTCTTTCATTATGTTGACTACCCGACGTTTCGCAGCCATTCTGACAATACCTCTGGAAACGACAATCTCCAAATACTATGTCAAAGGTTCTCCAGTACCATTCAATATATCATGTAGCCTCCATAACCGCTTTTTTAATGGCCCTTCATCCCCTATACTATAAAAATTTTGGTTGTGCACCAATTTTTCACGGAATTTGTCTGGCCCCTGACGACACATATCCAACAAGGAAACAATTGAAAAGCCACAAGATCAACAAAGTACTCCTTGCCCCTTCCCCCTTCTTAATTTATCCCATTCACCGCCTTCCTCTTCTGTATGTGGACCAGTTTCCGAAGATGACCTGGTCCAGTAGTGCACACACCACACCATCACCAAGTATACCGATCTGTTCAGACCAAAGATTCTCCACAATTTTCACCATGGACGCAGTCAAACAGGCACTAGGTGCCATGTACTCGGGCGCGAGCCAGGAGGACAAGAAAAGGGCAACGTCGCATTTGGAAGAATTCCAAAAATCTGCCGAGGCCTGGCAGGTTTCTCATGATCTTCTTCTCAATCCAAATGAGCCCATGGAATATAAGATGTTTGCATCACAGACGCTAAAAGCAAAGGCCATGTACGACTTGGGCCAGGTACCTCTGGACCTGTTGCCACAGCTCAAGGACTCTATTTTGGAACTTGTGGCTGCATATTCTGGAGATAATGATCGTCTTATTCGTACACAGCTATGCCTTACTTTGGCTCATTTATCCCTTCAATACTTACAGTGGAACGGAGCCATGAGTGAAATATCGGCTTACTTGTCGTCTAAGCCGGAGTACATGCCTGCATTGCTTGAATTTTTCAAGGTTTTGCCTGAGGAATTGTCGGAATCGAATAAGTCGGCATTGACCGACGAGGAGTTCAACACCAGATCAGCGGACCTCATTACTCACAACGTTGAAAATGTTTTGTTGTTCTTGAAAAACGTCATTGAGCAGAAGTCTGCTCCCAGCACGATTGTCTTGGACTGTCTTAATTCCTGGATCAAGGAATGTCCAGTGGAAAGCATATGTCAGGTGGACTTGTTTGTGCAATTGATTTTTGTCTCCATCACCGAGGAGGCTACTTTTGAAAAGGCAGTGGACTGTCTTTGCTCCATCTTGCGTGAAACCAGAGACATTGACAACTTCAACTTGGTTGATGCCTTGTACGGCCAGATTTTGAAAATCAACGAGTTTTACACCAGCCACCCTGACAGATTAGATGACCCCGACGTGGTTGACGGTCTCACTAAGCTTTACGTTGAAGCTGGTGAGCTGTGGCATGTGTTGATAGCCAAGAATGCCGCTCATTTCAAGCCATTAGTCCAGATCTTGCTCACCTGTTGTAAATACGAGGAAGACTTGGACGTGGTCAAGTACACATTTTATTTCTGGTACGAGCTCAAGCAGATGATCACTCTTCCAAAGTTCGAGGCCTCCAGAGTCGAGTTTCTGGACATTTACTTGCAATTAATCGAGGTCATCATCAAGCATCTTGCTTACCCCGTTGGCACTAACGAGGACAACCTTTTCGAAGGAGACAAGGAACAAGAGGACAAGTTTAAAGAATTCAGGTACGAGATGGGAGACGTCTTGAAGGACTGCTGTGCCGTTGTTGGTCCTCAGAAAGCACTTAATGTTCCCTTCCATCAACTTCAGACCCTCTTGTCTCAACAGAACGCTCATTGGCAGCACCTTGAGGCCTCGCTCTTCAGTATGAGAGTAATGGCGAAGGAGGTTTCACTCAAGGAAAAGACAATTTTACCTGCTATCATGCAGATGCTCGTACAGTTACCAGAGCACCCCAAGCTTAGATACGCTGCCACTTTGGTTTTGGGCAGATACTCCCAGTGGACATCCAAGAACCCCGAGTTTCTCGAACCTCAGCTCAACTACATCACCAAAGGCTTCCAGGGTGATCTCGTCAACAGCTTATCTGCTAGTGACAAGGAGTCCATCTATAATGCTACTTGTCAGGCCTTGATGTTCTTCTGCGAGGACTGTGCATCTGATCTTGTCAACTACCTCGAGCAGCTCTATATGTTGTACCAGCAGGTTCACAATGAGCTCCAGACCAAGGCGCTTTACGATTTGATGACTGGTTTGGCCCATGTCATGAAGAAGATCCCCGAGCAGGACCAGTACAAAACATGTCAGATGTTCTTGGGTCCAACCGTGGAGAAAATCAGACAATTGGCATCTGAGGGCTCTGTTCAAGACGAGAATGTCATTAATGCATTGCACGACGAAGCGGAGCTTCTTAGCATCTGCTTGCGTGTGTTGAGGGCTCTGAACTTCGAGGTTCACGAGTACCCCGTGGCCAAATTCTTCATGGACTCTATTTGGCCTGTTGTCGAGGCTGTTCTCGACAAATTCAGCGTTTCTCTTCATGTCAGCGAGAGCTTTGTGAAGCTCCTCAAGAACGCTTTGCATAGTTGCAGCATTTTCATCTCGTCAGTGTTGCCACTGATCGCCAACGCCATACACAAGGGTTTCCAGACCACCACGTTTGGATGCTATTTGTATGTTTCTGGAGCCATGCTCAGAGAGTTCAGCGACGAGACAGTCAATCCACAGATCCAAGAAGCAGTGTACCAACTCGGCTTGGAGCAAAGCTCGTCATTTTTCACGCTTCTTGAACAGAAGCCCGAGTCCATCAGGGAGATGCCTGATGTTATAGAGGACTTTTTCAACATGTCGACGGAATTGCTCATGTTCTACCCCAACAAGACAATCAGCAACGAGGGGCTCATGAAGTCGATTCTCCACGCCGGTATCCTCACCCTCAACATGTGTGAAGAGTACAACCCCCTAATTGCATGTGTGCATTTCTTCATTGACTACGTTTCGTGGGGATCGCCTTATCCACCCATCTCGTTCTTTGACGACGACCCCAAGCAGATCCAGCAGTCTGTCAAGCATTTCTTGGTTACCGGAGGCCATGGTGAGCAGCTCATCAAAGTTGTTCTTCAAGGGCTTATTTTCAAATTCTACAATGACGTCGACGCTAACGATCTTGTGATCAAGATCTTGACGGTGTCGCCCGACACAGAGCAAGCGGTCGGCTGGCTACAGAATGCAGCCAAAAGCCTCCCCAATGTTAGCGGGAAAGAGATTGAGAAGTTGATCGGGTCCATCGGCGTGGCACTTCCGAATAAGGACAACAGAAGAGTCAGGATGGCAGTCAGAGATTTTGTCAGCTGGTACTCACGCAAAAACGTGAATCTGAGAAGTACGTTTTAGCCAGCTTTGATCTGATGGAATCGATTGTTTCTGGTGCCCAACAAGCCTTCTGCTTGCAGCCAGGGGCTGATTTGGAGAAGCCTCCACAAACTGGCTGGGTTTCAGGCACATGGAAGCCAGCTGATTTCAGGAACGGCTGGGGTCAAAACAGGGGAAATTGGGCTTGCTTGACACCCATTTTGGCAGCCGTTTGCAGCCACTTTCGGGCAGACCTGCACACGGGTTTGTTTATGGCTTGACAGAAAAAGTTTTTCTTCTGGGAACAATGGGTTTTGCGCCCAGGCTTTCGGCTGCTTTTGTTTACCACTGGCTGGGAGTTTCAGAAAGAAGGATTTTTTGAAACCACCTGATTGATCTGGCTTTGGGCAAGGGACATGCTTATCTGAGGCGGGCGCTAATTATAGAACGCCCCAGATTCCATAACGGAAGGTGGATCTCTGCATCTGGTGCACTTTTCCTTTTTTTTTTTTGGCAGGCCGCATGTACGCAAGCGAGGCAGCTACGAAATCTTACGAGCATATGACAGGCAGTGCCGAGATGTACACACCGGGCTGAGTAAACCAGGGCACCAAGAAAATGGGCACTTTTCCCAAGGCCAAGGCGGATCAAAGCCAAGCGAAAGGACAATCACGAAAAATAACCTTTCAGTGTTCGTCGGTTGCCGTGTGTGCCGGTATGGTTTGGCAACATTTTACGACCACACTTGACGGGCAGAGAATGCCCAGCCAGGCTTGTCTGGCTTGTTCGGCTTGTGGGTTTCAACAGAGAATTCAGCCCGGTTGCCAGTTTCCAAAAATAAACCGCCTTTTCACGGGGCTGGCGCCCGCTTTTTTAGTCTCTGCAACGAAAGCGGCGGAATACAGCCTCCTCTGCCTTAGCCCAGACCGCACAGATGGAGGCCCACGGGTTTGAGCGTTTTCTTTCTTTTGCTTCCATCTGAGGCGTTCCAGGTTCAATATGGCGGATTCTATTGGCCAGCAAGGGAACCCTGTTTGAGATGATTGCAGCCAGAAACCAGGGCGGCTGCGGGCGTGACCCAAAGCGGGAGGGCACCTTCCCCTTTTGTCGGTTTGCACGGCAGGCAGAATAGCGCCACGTGCAGGCTGGGGCGTCAAAAGCAGGCTTGATGCATAATCGATGGAGGTTGCAAAAAAGAAAACAAGAGATAAAGAAAATTCTTGCTGTGCCCGGCGGTCTATATAAGACGGCCCAGATCCCACCCATCTACTTTTTTTTTTCCTCATCAATCAACCAACTTCGTCTTTCGCTATGCAATTCTCCACCGTCGCCATCTTCGCCGCTGCTGCCTCCGCTGTCTCTGCTGCCGCTAACGTCACCTACGTGACTGACCTTTCTTCCACCTTGGTCACCATCACCGACTGTGGTCCAGAGGTCACTGACTGCCCAGCTCACCACCCATCCACCGTTGCCAACGTCTCCACCTACGAGGGTGCTGCTAACAAGCAGTTCGCCGCTGGTGCCGTTGCCTTGGCTGCTGGTGCTTTGTTGGCTTTGTAAGCTGTCTAGCATTTCCCTGTTTAGACTGCGCATGGCCGCAAGGTTCAGTTCTTGGTGTATATTATATGATTAATACAGAGTATCATAAAAACTACTTGTAGACAATAGAATAGAGTCGGCTGTGTTTCAAGACTTACGCACTGTGCCTTGGCACCAACGTCCCATTGTGGTATTGTAACCACAAGTGAGAAGTCAGAACGCTTGACAGGGTTTCACCTGGTGATACCACTGAACATTATGTTTCAGCAAGCGTTGTGTTTATCTCGATGGAATGTGTGACTGTTTCATCCACTGAAACACATCGCTATTGTTGCAGGCGTATCCCATCGCCCATTGTGAAGGTTTCCCAAAAGAGCACGTTTGTTCTTTGTTAGGAGCCAAATCCGCCAAAACGGTGGTACCCGAGGCCGAGGTCTGGCCGTGTTGCTATAGTTTTCTTTACTTTTTTCAAAGTCTACTGAGTTGCTTGCATGGGTGCAAATTCTAGACATCACCGAAATTAGCCCCTCTCACATATCACGATAAGAAGTCGAGATGGGCTGTTTCGGGAAATGGTGAAAATTCGCCCATTGTTGCAAATCCACCTAAACCTCGTCAGCGAAGATTTTCACGGTTAAGCCAAGCTGCATCCTGATAAGCAAAGCCGAGGGCTTGGAAATGGGCTCATGTGTCGTCTAGGGCATTTTTCTTGAAATAGACGGCGAGGCGGGAATGGAGTGATTTTTCGTGAAAAAGAGCCGTGGAAAAAAATGGGATTAAATTACCATTGTGAGAGAAGGCGAGCTTGGCGGTTTGATCGGCATTTATCCGTTTTCGGTGTCGATTGGGTGGTAATTTAGCCGACGGGTCAATTGCATGAATTCTATTAAGCTTCCCTTTTTAGCTTTACCGAGATACCGAGGCAAAGGGTTCCTTTTAGGCTTTACCAAAATACAGAAGCCAATGGCTTTCTTTTAGGATTTGCCAAAGGGTCCCTTTTTTAGCTTTACCGAGATACCGAAGCTAGGTTCTCTTTTAGGCTTTACCAAAATACAGAAGCCAATGGCTTTCTTTTAGGATTTGCCAAAGGGTCCCTTTTTTAGCTTTACCGAGATACCGAAGCTAGGTTCTCTTTTAGGCTTCAACAAAATACAGAGGCCAATGGGTCCTTTTAGGATTTGCCAAATTCTCTTTTGAGATTTACCAAATACAAAAGCTCAAGGGAGCCTTTTCAGTTTTACCAAATTACAGAGGCCAATCCGAAGAGGCCTACACACCTACTCTAAAACACAATCTATTAAGAACAACTTAGGCGGCAGTAGGCACGGCAGTAATAGTGCTGGACTCCACGGCCATAGTGCTGGACTCCACGGCCTGGGCAAGTGCATCACCACCAATGTAGTCGAATGGGTTCAAAGCACCAGAACGAATCAACTCAGGAATAAGCTCCACGATAAGCTGGATCAAACCAGCACGGGTCTCGCTATCGGTAAGCGAGTACTTGATAACATCAAGAGCCAAGCCAGAGTCCTTCATGGCCGTCAACACCTCGGTGTATGGAATGACATCGGCTTCGATCAACTCCACAGTGATACTGGCCACGCCGTGTCTGACCTGGTCGTCAACCAAGGATTGTCTGATGATGCTGTTGATCAAACCAGATCTCTTGAGAATGACGAAAATGTGGGTCATGGCGTCGTCAAGAAGGCCTCTTTCTTCCAAGTCGAAGTCGTCAAACTCCCTGGCAACAAGGGCGTTGGTGGTACTGTTTGGGTGCAACTTCTTGTCCACGGCATCCTTGATGTCTCCCTTCTTCTTATCCACAACCTCACCGGCCTTGGTCTTGCCGAGGTCTACAGCATCGGCGATTTTCTTCTTGATAAGCTCCAAAAGCTGAGCGGTGATTTCCTTGATTTTCAACAAAGAGTGGTGCTTGAGCTGCTCGAAGATATGGTGGGCAATCTCCTTGGAATCCTTGATGGAAGCCTCCGCCTTGGCCTTCAATTCAGCCTTCTTCTTCTCCACAATCTCCTTGCCTTTAGCAGCGGCTTTTTGCTTAGCAGCATCGGAAACAGCCTTCAACACCTCCTTAGCAGCAGCGTTGGTTTCCTTCTCATTGGCTCTAGCAACAAGGTAAGACGAGTCTTCAATAGCGAGAGCAGAGACGCTCGAGGCAGCCATAAAAGTGACGAAAACGGTGGTAAACTTCATGTCGTGTAATGCTTTCTATTAGTGATGCTGTGTGAAACAGCTGGGGGATTTCCCCGTCATTAAATACCTCTCCAGAGAGAGTTGCTCTACGGCGTCCTAGGCAGACGTGGGCAACATTTCGTACGAGCTGCCTTGGCCCCTCAAAATAATTCTTCTTCTCAATCTCAGAATAATGCCGCGTGGGAACCACGATTTGCCGTAGCTGCCTCGCTTGATCGCATTAAAATCTTCAAGCGAGGAATGCTTGAGGGTGAACTGGTCTCCCATCGCCGCTTCCTCGAGCTTGAAGTCTTTGTCCAAGTTGGTGAGAACTGGTGGCTTCCACTTGCGGAGCATCAACGAGTTAAGAACCACACTGACAGAACTGCAAGCCATGGCAGCAGCAGCCGCGGCCGGTGGGAGCATCAAATTAAACGGAAGGAAGCATCCCATGGCAAACGGCAACATGACAAAATTGTAGATGGTAGCAAAAATAAAGTTGAGCTTGATTTTCTTGAACGTGGCCTCCGAAACCTTCAAGGCGGTGATGACACCGGCCAAGTCATTCTGCAGCGAGTTCTTCAGACCCATCAAAACAATTTCGGCAGAATCAATGGCAATATCTGTTCCGCTACTGATCGCCATACCAATATCGGCTTGCACCAACGCAGGCGCGTCATTAATACCGTCGCCGACAAAGGCAATTGAGATATTTTTTGGGCCTCCGAATTTCTTTCTTAAATCGACAATAACCTTGTCCTTTTCGAGCGGCGATACCTCACTAAAAATATTGCCTTTTGGAACACCTAATTGCGATCCTATTCTCACGGCAACTTCGTCACTGTCACCGGTGACTATGGCGACCTGAATATTTTCAACATCTCTGATGTAGTCGATGACCTCCCGAGCGCCTTCTTTAATTGTATCAACAAGCTCCAAGTATCCCGCGTACTTGCCATTCACAACAACATGGGCGCATGTCGAGATCGAATCTTTGAGATCATTTTCCAACACAGTGGCAAGGTGCTCTCTGCTCTCCGGGAAGTCACGAACAATCAAGCGCTTGTTGCCGATGACAACATCAAACGTCTGATTATTTAAAGCAACTTTGGCCTTCACTCCTAAACCGGTCAACACTTCGAAGCCCTGGATAGTGGTACTAAAGGTGTCACCTTCAAAAGTGAGACCGAGCTTCTGCTTGGCTCCAGCTGCAATAGCCTTACCAGTAGGATGCTCGGAGTTCTTTTCGACAGAGCCAACCAACGTCCACCAATCCCTTGGAGAGATTTTGAGGTCATCAAGAATTGGTTTTGCGCTGGAAATAGTCATTTCGCCAGACGTTAATGTTCCGGTCTTGTCAAAGAGCATAACGTTGATGGCGCTAGCCTTTTCCAAAATATCACCTCCTTTGATGAGGGCACCACGAGATGCTCCGACACCTGTTCCAACCATCACGGCTGTTGGTGCAGCAAGTCCCAAAGCACAAGGACATGCCACAACAATAACGGAGATCGCAAGTTTTAAGCAAACGAAATACTTTCCATTCTCTTCGTTCCTGAAAGCCTTGGGAAGCTTGTCATCATGGATGTAAGAGCAAAGGATGAACCATAAGGCGTATGTGATGCTGGAAAGAATCAACACAGCGGCAACGAAACGAGCAGCAATGTAATCCGCATATCTTTGAACAGGCGCTTTGCTGACCTGAGACTCCTTGACAATGTCAATGATCTGATGCAATTGTGAGTTCTTACCCGCCCTGGTGACTCTCATATGAATTAAGTGGGGGCCGTTGATAGAGCCACCAATGACAGTATCTCCTCTCTTCTTGAGCACAGGCATGGACTCACCGGTGATGATGGACTCGTCAACTTCCGTAGAGCCATGCACAATCACACCATCAGCTGGAATCTTGCCACCAGCAGTAACCACAGCAATGTCGTTCGTCTGCAAAAGGTCGATACCGATTTCTCTAGTAGGGAGGTCAGCAAGCTCTTCATTTGCACCTTTCTCATTATCACGCTCCAGAAGGAGCAGCAGGTAAGCAGAAGAGTCGGTGACAATGGAACAAACTGTTGGAGTAAGCGAGACAAGCCTAGAGAGGGCAGTTGAAGTGGCTCCCTTGGCTTTGTTTTCCATCCATTTGCCGAATGAGATGAATGAGATAAGCATAGCTGTTGTCTCAAACAACACTTTTGGAGGCTTTTCTGTTTGGCCTGTCCAAACACTCAAGACAATTGAGTAGACAGAGAAACTGTATGCCATCAGGGTCGACATGCACACGAGGACGTCCATATTGGCATTCTTGCCCTTACGGCGAATGCAACCGGCCATCTTCTTAAAAAAAACTGATCCCAAAGTGAACAAAATGAAAGATGTGAGTGCCAACTGGATCACCGAAACGACATAGAGGCCGTTGAAAACCATGAGTTTGCGCCAGAGGGACATGCTTTGGGTCACATTGAGGGCGATAACTGGAAGACCAAACACAAGTGACCAATAAAAGGTGGACCGCCAATAGCTGATCTCTTTGCTTCTAGATAGGAGTTTCAACTGGGTGTTGAGTGATTGGTCGATTGAGTTGAGAATGACAAATTGATGCTCGTCGTCGATATTATTAAGGGCATCCACAAGCACACGGACCCCGAGCATGTTGCCCATGTAAGATACTCGAAGCTCGTCTATAGCATGTTCGGCACCTTCCGCATCGTTTTCGAGGTCCATAGTAGACTCCTCGATTTGGCCCTTGAAGATGAACAGGAAGTCAGTGACACCGGCCAAACTATTGAGGACAGCCTCGACATTATACTGAAGTGCCGAGGTGTCGGAGGATTCGTCGATGCCGTAGATTTGAAGGATGGCCTGCTCCTCGATTTCTTCCTCCTTCTCGAGCAGCGAAGTGAAGTTGATAACGGCGTCAAATCCGCAATCCTCAATAGCACTTTTGAGCCTTTCGGCAGTGATATCTTGTGTGTGATTCACCACAGCCGAGTCAGTGACATTAGATACAGAGGCTGAGACAACCTCAGGGAAGCTCTCCAAGGCTTCAGTGATCAGAGCCAGGCACGCACCACACGTCATTCCCGTGACGGTGAAGTTACTAGTAAGCAAGCTCTGTGGAACCACTGGAGGTGCGCCGCCAGTGGACTCTAAAGTAGCGTCAAAACCGCAGTCCTCGATGGCTCCTAAAAGCTCCTCTGCACCGACAGCAGAAGAATGTTTTATCGACGCCGTATTGGTAAGAAGCGACACAGAAGCCAGTTCGACTCCCAGGAGGCCTTCTAAAGCCTCTGTGACACTCAGGGAGCATGCTCCACAGGTCATTCCGGAAACGCTGATCTTCGTGGTGACCAGCTTGGACGGTAGCGGAGTAGAAGAATCAAGCAGTGCATCGAAACCACAATTCTCGACAGCATCCACCAAGGTTTTGGCATCAAGATCGCTGCCGTGAAGCACCTTGGCTTCATTAGTAAGAAGCAGCACAGCGACTGATTCTACCCCCGGAACAGCCTCCAAAGCCTCGGTGACCGAGCCCAGACACGCAGCGCACGTCATACCACCCACGCTGATGCGAGACTCCATCGTTAACAAAAAAACACAATCAATAGTAGCACAGGAATATGTGGAATTTGGGGCGTATTAAATGGGTCTGTAGGTAGGAGAATTGATGGCACAAGATACTGTGCGAGGGGCCTGTGTGCAGTACGCACTTCGCTATAGGCGGGAGGATGGAACTGCCGATTCGGCATGGGGGGCTTTTGCAGCAGATCTGGTGGATAAAGCCCACGGTGGATGCAATTTTTTCTTTTAAGATTTGATGATTTCTCGCTTTTTCAACGTTCCTGGATCTTGGCTCAAATGTGAATAAAATGTCACCCAATCCAAAGGAACCCCATCTTCGGCTGCTGCACAATTGTGTCTGCTAATGTATAACGAACGGCGCACGGCACTGCGGCAGTATGTCAAGTTGAGGCACATCCGAAAATCCACAAAATACGATCATCTCCCCTGGCTCATGTCCAGATCGTGAGATGGAAAATCCAGAAAAAAAGGGGTCGTTGCAGCAGCATTGATGCAAGAAGCGAAGAGTTCTAGCACATGTATTCTTTAGTGCATTAGAAAATGCCCCATTTTCTTGAAATTTCGCTTCGGTAATTGTCGCTCATGGCCATGTGCCATTGACATCTGCACAATCCCGAAATGACAAGAAAGGCACATAATTGTGCGTCACGGCGCCTGGCCAGGCTGGATTAAGCTCAATTTATAACATGTTCCACTTCGGACTTGTTTCCCATCTTCTTCTTTTTGTGCTTCGGCGCAGTTCCGTGGTACTTGTGCGAGAGCTGCTTGAAAGCCTGCTTCCGGTCGAGCTCATTGCCGTCTTGGTCCTTGTACTTGAGGTTTACTTGGGGGTTGTAGCTGGAAAGACGGTCCGAATTGTAGTTGGAGTATCGTCCTTTGGGTACCTCCACTAGACCTTTTGCAACAAGGCGCTCGTTGAGGATCTTGTCAAGCGTACTGTCTTGTTCTTCTTTGGAGAGTCTTTTGTACGACAGATCCAGCTCCAATTCCTGTTTGACTGAACGCTCTTCAATCGAGATTGCGATTCGCTGGAGCTCTGCCTCCTTGATTCTCTGTTCCTGTTGTTTTCTGGCCTCCTTCTCCCTTTGCAGTTCTGCACTGACCATGTTATTGCCACGAAGGTAGCTGAGTGTAGCTGCCATGCTGCCGAATTTAGGCTTACTGGACGCTTCTTGTTCCTCGGGCTCGGCCTTTCCATCCAGCTGTGGAACTGCTTCATCCTGGGTCTCGGTAACCTTTTCTTCAACATCCTTTTCGGCCTCCTTCTTTACCTCTTCTTTAGAATCGTCCTCAACTGCCTGGCCAATGCTGCTCAAAAAGTCTGAGGTTCCGTCGAAAACCATACCGCCTGTCTTCTCTGTCAAGTCTATACGCTGGTGCAGCTGAATTTCCTGCGCCAACTGCTCTGGAGTGAGTAGTTTTCTTTTCTTCTGCTGTTTCTCACGGTTCTTGGCTAGCACACTCTGGATTTCATCGTCGCCATCGTCTGCCTCAAATTTCAACTCTTCAGTTACCATCGGCTGGTGGGTTTCGAGCTCCGCGTCGTTGTCCAATTCTCGTTTCTTCGACAGACTCTTCTTTTTTGACTTCTTCTTGAACTTGACTGCTGCCGGCTTAGGCTCGTCAATGTCGTCAAAAAGAGCTCCCATTTTTGTCGTTCCTGACTTCACCGGGGGCTCAACATCCTGCTTCTGCGGTAGAAGAATCGTGGATCCTGAAACCTGAGCGAGCTCGTCAGCCTCATCCTCCTCGTCTTCCTCGAACCTGACGCCAAACTTCAACGTGGCAATTTTCCGCTTTTCTGCCTCGGTCTTTCGAAGTTTCTCGGCCTTGGCTATCTTTTCATTCACCATGCGTTCCTCCTCGTCAACCAAGACATTCTGGTCCTCGAGGGTAAAAACATCGCCGTCTTTGACATCCGATAATGCCAGGGCAGCATGGCCAACGGCAATTCCCTCAGATTGTTCGATATTCTCTTTTTCAGCGGTCTTCTCAGCTTTCTTGCCTTTCCCTATGTTCTCAAGCCAGTCTGAGCCTGCATCATTGTAGAACAACTTCAGGTCGGTGTCCACCTTAAACTGATTATTTGACGTCGTCTTCTTGGGCAAATCAACACTTTCTTCTGGTTTCAGCTCATTCAAGGGCTCCTCCACAACAATCGGTTTGAGACCTAGAGATGCCCTGAGCTTGTTGGTCTCTTCAATGGAAAGTTCATCTTTTCCAGAAACCCCCTTCTTCAAATTTTCTTTCTTCTCCACAGGCAACAAAGGCAACCCGATCTGGGCCCGAAGCCTATTGGTTTCCTCTATAGAAAGCAGGATCTCCTCAACCATGGCTACCTCATCTACCCCAGCTATTCGCGATACATTCTATGTGGGTGGACTGCACGAACAACACCTACTGTTTACAAACATCACCAATTGTCTCCTCAATTACATATGGAAAACCATGAAACTCCTGTTTTGTGAGGTCATCGGAACGCTGGCCACGGCACCGCAGCACGTGGCGTTTCTGCCGCTGAGAATGGCGTATGTGGCCAGTGGAGGTGTCATAGTTTGTGAGGTGGATGCAAAAAACGGCACCTTGGGTAAACAGCGGCTATTTGTGGCCAATCTGGGCGTGGAAAGCGACGATTTGGCCAAGTTGGACAGAGAAACGGACAAAAGGGACAAATTCGACATCCCCCTCGAAAGCACCTACACGTACGGAAAGGACCGTATAGACACCAAGGTGGACGGAGAAGCACTGCCGTCTAAGCTCAAGGACAGGGTCAGGGCTGTTTCGTGTGTGGCGCTTTCGCCCAATGGCCGTGTTTTGGCTGTGGGCGAGTCAGGATACCATCCTCGGATTCTTCTTTATTCCTTGGCTGCAAACTCTTCAGGGGTTCCATTCGCTGTGATTCACGAACACACGTTTGGTGTAAAGAGTATTGCGTTTCTGCCGGATTCACGGCACTTTACCTCTTTGGGACAGCTCTCCGACGGCTTTCTACATATCTGGAAGTACTCCGCCACGTCTGTATCGCTTAAAGCGACGAACAAGTGCTCGTCTATTGTGAACAAGGTATTCTGGCATCTGCTGACCACGATCGTTACGGCTGGTTTGCGCTTTCTCAAGGTATGGAGCTACGAGCCTCACGATTCAAATAGAGCTATTGTCTTAAAAGGACGCAATGTCGTATTAGGGCTGAATCTAGAGGTGGACTTCACTCAGGCTGTTTCGCTTTCGAGCGACGAGGTACTTCTATCTGGCTGCCATAGTGCTCTCTATGTGCTTTCGCTTTCTGGACTTAGTATTGTCCCGGTGGAGGTCCCCAATGGCTCATCTACGTTCTATGGCTTGGAGACTGAGGCTGGTTCCCAGAAAGTGAGCTATTTTGATGGTGAAAGTCCCAGACTTGTTGGTTTTGATAAGCTTAAGCATTCCTCCACCAGACTGGCGCCCTCCTCGCCTTCAAAGATTGCTTTGATGTTCTCCAACCTTTCATTGAAGGCCACAGCTCCAGACTACCCCGTTGTGACCTCTCACCTAACTTCAAACGACGGCCAGCTCTACTCAATTTACCTCACGAACAAAAAAGAACTCTGCGTTTTGAACACGCTGTCGGGAGATATCAAGACGCTTGTCGCTGCCCCAGTGACCCGAGCTGGAGGAATGAAGCGGGCTTCTAACGGCGACCTTTTGGTATACTCCAAATGTGGCAACCTCAGAACGGTGAATGGGCACGGAATCTCCCAGCTAGCCTCTATACGTTTGCCACAGACCGATCAGCTTGAAAATGAGCTTACGGCTGTGGACTATGACGGCACATATGCGTACTTTGGAGATCGTTACGGCCAGCTTGTTGTTAACGATGCAACTACTGGCGAAGACGTCTTGCAATTGAAGGCCCACTCTTCTTCAATCAATGATCTCATACGGTTTAAGGCAAGCTCTTTGGAACTACTCGTCACCACATCAAGAGACCGAACTGTTCAATTATTCTACAAAAACGACGATAAGTGGGAGCTTCTCCAGACGATAGCCAACCATACGGGAAACCTCGTCTTCTGCAAAGTGTATGAGGAATCGCTCTACGTTTGTTCGGCTGATAGGTCCATATCGATCTATGGCTTCAGGGAGTTCCCTGGTGACGAGATGCCTATTGAAGTGTACCAAAAGAGAGTTCTCACTTTGAAGCATTCTCCTACAGCCATGGAAATCTTGGACAACGAGCTTCATGTTGCAACGAACGACAAGTCCGTCCATGTCTACGATGCAAAAAGCGCTGACTTCAAATACTCCACCAAACTCACAAACGAGAAAGGTGACTCGCTCAGTGTGGAGAACTTTGCACAGATCGATGGTTATGTCGCTGTTTCGTCCAATGATCGCTCCATTCGCCTCTACTCTTCACATTACTCGAAGCTGCATGCTGTCACCTGGGGCCACTCTGAAACCATTCTTGAAATGGTCAGCTCCGATCTTACTTTGTACTCTATCGGCCTGGATGGGTGCCTCTTCATCTGGAATGTTCTGGAGGCAGCAGAGTCGAACCACTCCAGCTTCAAGGAAGACGATTCTGATCTGAGCTTGGTTGAACCTGACAACCTGCCTCTTTTTGCTAAAGTGACAAGGAAGATTCTTCCAGTTGCATCAGCATCCAAACCATTGAGTACGCAAAGTACACCTAAATTTGACAGGGAAAGCTCTCCGTCAAAACGATCGCTGATCATCCTCGATCCGAGCTCACCATCACCAGCTCCAACTACAACCCCAAGACTTACGAACGCTACTATAAAGAGAATGGAGGCTCGAAAAGGAACTCAGGCTTCACCTGCTAAAAGCCCATCTCCTAAACGAACCTCTCCATCCAGAACACTGTCTCCTACAAGAACTACGAGCAAACCCAGTGCTACATTACGGTCGCTGGTACTGCCATCCAGAAAAGCTTCTGTTGATTCAATCACAAATCCACAACCTCGGCTAGCACCACAAAATAGCTCAGATTCCATGGATAGAGCGTCTGCGTACATCACAATCATCAAATCCCATGCACAAAAAGGGCTCTTTTCAGGTGAAGAAAAGGAAAATTTGATCGAGCAATTGACGGACTTGATCAGTGTGTTGGGCGGACCTGTGGGTTCTACAAGAAACGACGCTATGCTCGAGAAATTCGGCCAACAACTCGTCGATTTGGTTCAGAAAAAACTTCAAGATTGATTAATGCTATCGTGTATTATGCTTAAAAATCCATGGCCTCATCGAAGTCATCTTCCTCGAAATCGTCGACTTCCTCTGCAAGATCCTCATTATCGCTGAAATCCTCCTCACTGGACTCTTCATCCAGGCTAGATCCGATGTCATCCTCGTTATCTTCATTCCGCTGGTTTTCGGTCTTCTCCTCCTCGACAACCTCGTCGTCCAGTTCATCCTCCTCGTTCTCCTCATAGGGAACAACAATTGCATCTTCATCAACATCAGCGCTTTCGGATCCGTAAAGTCTGAACGAGGTGAGCTTCATTCTACACCTTGGACAACCTTCAGCCTCCTCGCTGCCATTTTCTATAGCATTGAAACGAACTGCCAAACACACATAGCAAAATATATGCCCGCAGTTAGTAATGCAAGCGTTTGTCACGTACGTAGATGCTGCTTTGATGCCACTAGCTTGGGCAAATTCCATGCAAATAGCACACTGTGACCTTGGGAGGTTGGTGTATTTTGTCTGAACTGGGGAGGCAGTTACAAGGGGCGTTGAGCTCTTGTTCTTATTGAATGGAAGAAGCTTTGAAAGTATTCTGCGCCATTTTCTGAGTTGGAGTAATGGGAGGGTGAAGACCAAGAACTCCGTCATAACATTCCAGACTAATTGACGGTTCTGGAATTCGAAGTTCACATTGTCACCATTGAACTTCAACAAGTCAGCAACAACTGGTGTGAGCGAAATGCCCAAGATTCTATGCATCAAGGTTGGGAATCTACCTTGCACGAGAAACAAGATGAAGTTTATCAAGTTGAGAATCTTCACACCGTCATCGATACGCCCAAGGATGCGAGATTTGTTCTTAATCAAGAAGGTCTTTGCTTTTTCAATCAAAGTCTCCCTGGACTGCCTTATATTCTCGTCGACGGAATACAAGTATGACTCGGCTTTTTTGTAGAGGAAGTCGCCGATAATGACTGCTAGGAGGAGATAACGAGCTTGACTTCCAATTATCTTGCCTGTTCTCGAATTCGTGAGTTTCAAATTTTGCAATTTGAGACCATACGATGAGCCTGACTTCAAAGTCGTGAGACGGAAGATTAGCAAGTTCAAGCCTAGAGACCAGATCTCTGGGTTCTGGCTGTATGACCAGGGCTTGTTACTATGTAGCGCGAAAACATCGGAGAGCTGCTGTTTGAGTAAGCTGAAGAGCTCATTGTCGAGAATATATGCATCGAGTTGGGATACCCTGGGAGACGGGTATAGGATTTTTCGGAAAAGTGACATGAAGGAGTTGGAGAAAGTATCAACAGTTCTCCACATTTTGTGGCCTCGGTTCGCAGGCCCCCTTACCATGCAGTACCAGCTGCTCTAGTAGGGCCGTGATTTTTGCAACCAATTCTTGAATCAACACAGAAGTTTCCTTAGCAGTAACAGCATCGAGAGTTGGTTGTATGGAAGCCGTTATGGTGATTCCTCCGTACCTGGTGGCATTAGACATGATGTAATGAAGGATTCTGAGGAGCGATAATTTGACGACTGCGTTCCTGTTGTAGACTGTAAGTTTGGTAAGGATCTGGGAAACAATTAAATCACGAGTCATCAATCTGAGCACCACAGTGCTTGATGCCACAAGATGGAGGTAGTTGTTAAGCGCAGCCTCGAGGTTCGAAACCTTTGAGAGCATAAAGCCGTTCAAGAGACATTCGCGAGCATGAGGTTCCTCTAGCCAACGGAGTGAAGTATCCTGCAATGACCAGTGAAGGATGGAGTCCATCGCATTCGAATGCCAGTATGGATCAACGAGAAGATTGAGGTAGACGTTGAGAATGTTATGCTTGTAAAGCATCTGGCGTACGTAGTTGTCGCAGTAGACAAACTCACACAAGATGGGTAACACGAATTGCCGGAAAGGAAGATTGATCTTGGAGAGCTCTTTGTAGATGGGAACTGCACCGAGCTTCACCAACTCGAGCTCTTTGCCATGGTTCAAATAGCAACAATTGTAGAGCGAGGGACATACAATGTTGAGCACTTCTTTGTAGTGAGCACTGTAAGCTGGATGGTCATTCAAGACGGAAACGTAGAACTCCAAAATGTCGGCTGTATGCAACAGACGAAGAAGCTCTGAAATGCAACTGATTGACCGAAAGAATTTGAGAATGACCATCTGGCGCTGGAGATGAACTGACGGATACACCTTGATGAGGAGCTTCACCAAATCCGAGCTGACAATGTTAATTCTCACTCTTGGTTCTGCTTGGCCGAAGTATTTGAGAACGTCAAGAATTTTGTCAATCGTCACCTCAACGTACTCTTGAGGCACTAAGTTTTCTGGCATCTTCTTGTACTTCGTGAGCCTGTTGAGAAGAACCACGAACCAGAACACAACCCCGTACTTCGACAATATACGGCACATGTCTGATTTGAAACGAGTTATACCTTTGGAAAGGATCTCGTGTATGCAATGGATGGAAACGAGTGGAAAGTCGGGGGTCTGATCAAAATCTTCCTCTAAGAATCGGGACAATATTCTGAGACCGCCCGACGAGACAAACATGGTCAATGCCTTGTCTGACTTGCGAATGATTTTGATAAATCTGACAACTTGTAGCCTAGGCTGGAGACCATATGAAAGCTTTGTGAATTGCGTCATCATTGGAATACCGCCTAGAAGAGCGAAATTCTCCAACTGCGCCAGATTGCCATCGAAAATATGATTGAGAGTTGCAAGAACATGAAACCAGAGGCGACTCAGATCGGGCATTTCTGGGGCATTTTCAAGAAGCTCAAGGAGAGTCAAGACACCATGGTTTTTGATGAGTGTTTCGTGCAGAATGCTGTATTTCTTGACAAGCTGAAGCATGCGTCCAGTGATTTTGAGGAGAGATTTTGCCGTATCCTCATGCCCATAATGGCAGTTGTCCACTCGTGATATGAGTTTATGGCAAAGAAGCTCCATTTTACTCTGGACTTCAAGCTCGTCGGTGTCGAAATTCTCAACGAGTAACTCTAAGAAGGGATCATTCTCTTCCGACGGATCCTTCGAAGACTCCTCCTGTAGCTTCTCCTGGACCTTCAAGCTTAAAGATGCGTTTCCGACCTTCAAAAAGTCCATGTCATCCTCGTTTTCTGTAAACTTGCTGAGTAACTCATTTCTTGTGTACCTTTCCCGGGACGGACTGCCAGCAGTACTATTGACCTTTGAAGGGGTGGGACTTTCCTCCAGATGGAAGGTCTCACGGGAAGGACGAGCAGAAACCTCGTGTTTGCTTCCTTGAGTATCGCCATCCTCCATCCAGCGGTGCTTCAAGAGCAATTTGGACGAGATTCGAAGCGTTGGCTGTTTCTGGAAGCATTCTAGTAGAAAATCCTTTGCAAGTGGTGTGAGACCCGGCGGAAGAGGCGGATGGTCGTCTGTACCTATGGCATGTAATGTGGCCATGGGGTTGAGCTCGTGGTAGGGGGGATTAGTGGTGAAGAGCTCTATAATGGTAGCACCCAAGGACCACACGTCCGACGCCGTACAGATACCCTCGCCTCCAAGAACCGTTTCTGGAGCCATCCAGTTGGGAGTTCCCACGACCGTATTGTGCAGCGTAGCGACCTTGGTTGCAACACCAAAATCGGCGAGCTTCACCTCGCCAGATTCGGTCAAAAGCACATTGGCAGCCTTCACGTCACGATGCACCACACCCTGGGCATGGAGGTAGCCTAGACCGTGAAGAATGGGTCTCACGTACAGCACGATCTGGGAATCCAGAAAGCCGTGGCCCTGTTTCTTGTACAACTGCCTCAAGGACCCGCCAGCGCAGTACTCCAAAAACACGTTCAAGGAGTTCAGCGTTTTCACGAATCCATGGTACTTGACGATGTTCTCGTGCTTCAAGATCTTGAGAAGGTCGATTTCTCCCATCAACGCACGCAAGTCGTGGTCCTTCTCCAACGGAATCTGCTTGATGGCCACGACCTGGTTGGTCCGCAAGTTCCGTCCTCTGTAGACGTCAGCATGGGCTCCTCTGCCTACCTTCTCGTAAAACTTAAAGTTGTCCAACGCGTTGCTTGTTCGTAGGCCTGGGGTCTTTCCCATTCGTTGTGCTGGAGTTAGCGATAGTTTGACGGATGTTTTTCTGTGGTGGTTTCGGGGAGCATCCTGCTGTTCCATCGGCGTCATTGGCCCGCTTGGCCTGAGCTGTTTGCTGAAATCAAACTGTGTTTCACCTGGAGTCTCTGGAATCAGCTCCATGCCTTTTGTAGGAGAAGTTCTCTCGAACGGCCCAAACTCGACAGGCAAGTTGTGTAGAAAAAGCGGTTTCCTTCCCTTCACTGGCAGCTTCTCAAATCCCGAGGATATGTCGTTTTCAGAAGTCCGTTCCGACAGACTGGATTTGGGATGGAGATTGATGTGGGCCAACTCGCCGAAATCCAGGGCAAACTCGTCGGCGGCCTCATTCTCGGACTCACGGAAGCGTCGGAGAAGCGAGGCTTTGGACGCCATGGCATGTCACGCTGTGTTTTTGTGTCTGAGAAAGTGGTGATGGTGTTTCTGTTTACCTGAACGCGCATCTGGGGTAGACGATGGAGATGAGGACGGTGTGTGAATAAGTGGTTTTGGAGAATTTAGGGGATTTTTTGATGGTTGTCTTGAAAATGAGCTGAAAAGGATGTGGAGGTGGATTTTGCTACTTTTGAGGGCCAATGACATGTCAATGTACCTGGGTACCTAGAGCATTGTAGAGTATGTAATGGCTGCGAAAAGCACTAATAAGCTCAGCATACAAATTAAGCTACCACACTGAATAAACTACGCTTTGCCTTGATAAATATTTTTCATAGTGCTACCCTCTTTCTTTTTTTTCTTCTTTTGTATTCATTGCCTTGTGATTGATGATTTCAGGGAACTACTACAGATAGTCACACAATCACCACGGATCACAAAACCACACACAGTCCACATTTCCGAAACCGCCTGGAAACACCACAATCTCGCTACAATCCCGATCCCATTGTCCTTTCCACCCCACCTTCCCAATCGAAAACATCTCGCCAAACCGCCTCCACCTGAAAAACACCCATTCATCAAAATCATCACCACACCCTACTCTCTCAAATGCACACCAGCGCAATACAGCATAAGAAGCTCCACTTGAAGCACAAAACCATGCTGGAATTGCTTTTCCATCTACACCTACAAAGTCACACCTTCAAATGACCTACAAGCGACCATCAAATGACATATCCAAATATCCGTCGTGTTCGTATTCGTATAACCCAGCCCCGTGGGGCGATTCCAGCACCATCAGGTGCGCCCGTAGGCTATGCAATAGGGATCCCTTGATCAAGTGGTTTCACAACTCTGCTGCTTCGCTTAGGCCGTCCGTAGACTACGGGCGATCAGGGCAAGCTGTAAAACCACAAACAACACCAAAGCAGCCAATACAAAGAAAACCACAAAGTACGCCATGCCGTCAGCCAACTCCCGCTGCCATGAAAACCGCATCTTCACCAAGATCCGGTCGTCCTGGCCAATAAAGGCCAGAATCGGATGCCCAAACTGCAGAGGCCGTAGTTTTCTTCCATTCGGTAGCTGGAGATGGTCGATATTGCCGTATTCCAAAGGCTCGTGGGCCCGCTGTGAACAGATCTTGAAAAGACTCGAGAGCGTCGTCTCCACCGAGTCGTCTGGCGAAACCACAAACAGGTACTTCTTGTCGCCAGCCAGAAGCACCAGGGTGCTGATGATGAAGAGCACCGACACGTTTTCGTCTAGGTGCACCAACGGCTCACCCCAGGACATGGTGGAAGGGAAGAAGAAAATGGCTTCTTTTTCACCAGTCCAGGCGACCCTCGATCTTATAAGCCATTGCGCTTTCAACTGTGCCTTGGTTTAGCCCTGCGACCTCATGCAGCATAGTTTTTCCGCTGAGGCTGTGGGTAGTATATACGGCAGGGGGAGGGACCGGGCGAGACTGCCTCCTGGGCTTAGGCGAGAGGTCCAGCCGTGCATTGATCGACACGACATTATTGAGAGAGCCGTTGTGGCTTGTTTGGGAGAGAGGGGGGAATTTTATTTTGACAGGTGGCTGCGGCTTTTTGGCTTTGTGCGTCGAGGACGGGCTATTATTGTTATCGGATCCACACCAACGTGCAACGGCCTTCTTACAAGCGCAAATCCACACCTCTTCTACAGCAAAGATCGGACCACGAGTTCACATGCCCCCCAGTGGTGCCATTCTTCCTTTGTCGTTTAGGTCGTTAGATCGTTTATTTTCAAAATCACGCACGGGTTTCACTCTGGGCTGTGCTGCGTTCTCCCTCCGCTTCTCCAGCCTCCTTCCTGTTGGCTTCGGCCGCTTCCTTCTCATCAGCCTCGAGCTTCTCCCGGTTCCAACTGAGCAACCTCTCGTCTCCCGGCTTCCGTGGCTTCACAATATTCACCACAAGCACGAGAAGTCCCACCACCATGCAGCAGGCGCCGCCGGCAATCCACGAGTAGCCCAAGAAATAGTTCTTGCCTCCAAGCACAGACCGCTGCGAAATGAAGATCTTCTTCTTGCCGTCGTAGGGCAACACGGGGAAATGCAACCCGACGCTCACTTCGTAGACACCCTCCGGGAGCGCCTCGTTGTCGTTCCGCATGTAGAGCTTGTTGAACTTCTGGAGCGCCGATGTAAACATCCAGTTCTGGAAGTCCTCCCACTTCGAGATGTCGGGCACGTTGGTGGAGTTGTAGCCCTCGGGGAACATCTTGTACCAGTTTGGAGGAGGAGCAATCTCGCTCGGGTCGTACTTGGTTTTTTTGAACCGGCCGTCGTTGGTGGCCCAGGCAATCCCGTTTCTGGACCACACATAGTCGTCGCTGGTGCCGTTGACGCCGGTGAAGGTGGGCGTGAAGGTGTCGTTGAACAAGGAGTTCGCTACAAGCCCACAGGGGTACAACTTCTTGCCGCTGGCGTCCTGAGAAAGCGGCTCACAGTTCTCTCCCACGCCGTCCTTGATGGACGCCAAGGAGGCTGCTGTGCCCTCGATCTGGTCCTCAGAAAACGACTTGGCATAACGTCTGTGGTTCTGCGAGAAGTTCTCCAAACGATAAAAAAAGTAAAGCGGGCTCTTCAACGTGTGGGGAACGTGGAACTGGATCTTGCACACCCGTCTCTCGTCCTCAAAAGGCTGGCTCTCGTTGGTGTCCAACTTCCACTGTGCTTGTGGAACATGGGCATAGTCCAAGTTGTAGTTGGTATACTGGTCTGGGATAGGCAGCCAGTAGTCTGCCGAGGCCAAGTTCTCACACTGGCTGTAGTCGATGGTGAAGTCCTGTACTCTGTGGGAGGCCAACCACATGGCACCTCCCAAGGGAAGGAGAAACACACCAAGCCCCAAAAGAATCGGAATAAGCCAGTACGCGGTGATCACCGGATTAAGCGCCTTGAGCCGCTGCTGCTGAAACGCGTTGTCGTTGGGCCGCCTCAGCTTTTCCTTCTTGGGCTCGATGGCATAATCCGAGTCTGAGTCGGACTCTGTCTCCAAATCGTCTCTTTGATCGTAGCCCGGCTCGGACTGGTCGTCGAACGGCGAGCCGGACGCCAGCAGACCCCGCATTTCGGGTGCCAGCACGTCGTTGCTGGAATCCTTGACGCTCATGGAAAAGAGGAGTAGGTGAAAGTTGATGAGACTGAGATCACTGCGGTGGTTGATATGCCGGCGGGGTGGGGGAGGTTGATGATTATTTTTTTGTTCTTTAAAGAGTTGAAGAAGAATCGAAGAAGAAGAGTGGTTGTGAAGAAGGGGAATTTTTTTTTTTGTGGGGTCCCCCTGGCTCTTTGTTGTCGGTGCTACGGTTCATTCGGCAATTGTGCTAAGCCGTGGACCCGCACTCAGGAACATAACCGGGAGTAGGTCAACGGGGTCAATATTGACAAATATCGTCTGAGGGGTCGGAAATTCGATTTCTTGCGTTTCATTAATGTTTCATTAATAGTTAGATTGGCAAAACGGGATTTCCTGACTTTTCGGCTTCCTGGCTCTCAGTGGGTGGGTTAGCTATTGGTGAGGAGATCTCGTGGCTCCGAACCCGGCGTGGGGAGAAACATCGTGTGGTTAGAATTGCTGGATGGAGGTGGTGGAGATAAAGTGATTTGGCGGTTTTGAGAAATTCTGGGGGGTGTAGGGGGTTTGAGGGGGAGGTTTGGTTGATCTAAGCTCGTAGATTGAGGACCTGAGGAACTAGAGGTGAAGAACACAGTAAGAGGAAAACTTTACCATAACGAATGAGAGGCTCATTCATTTCTTGATAATTAATCTTAATTGGTGCTAAGTAGCCTTGAGTCCTGGCGTCGGTGTTCTCTTGGTGTCACAGGTAGAATCATGATCTGTAGTACAATCTCGCTTGATGTAAGTGCTATCACGGACTACACTTCATAATGCTGGGCTCTATGGTTACTAATCTCCACAATCAATTGACCTACTTTCTGAAAGATGAAGCCTCCGTGGGCTCGTTCTGTGGATTCAGATCATGACGAGGGTGTTTCTTTGATGGTACGACGTAATGAAAATATCCAATAACAATACACTTTCTTGTTCTTTAATTCATGAAACATAGATGTTATCGTTTCTGTTGTTGTTGGCCCTGGTGCACGTGGAATCGTGATGAATATAGTTCACATCATGGAGCTGTAGTAGCATTGAGTGAGCAAAACTAGAAACAACTTGAAAAACTACAAAGAACGAATCAGAACCGAAAAGTCTTATCAAAAGAGCTCCAAACATGTATTTGAATGAAACGTTGAGTCTGTTGAAGTATTGGAAAGTCACGACTTGTCTATTCAATCAGTCTGTATCACTATTCTAAGAGAAATACGAGTCCGTCGACCCTGTGTCTACCCTGTGCCTAATTCACAACTAGTCATTCCATGACCTCGAAAAAGCAATGATTTCCCATCAACACAAGCAAAGAAGCAATCCAATTCAAGAAAATTCTATAAAAAACGACTTTTTCTCGTGGCGTTTCAAACCTTCATGAGCCCGTGTCTCCAATTTGGAATGGCTGCGAAATCGGTCTTCTCATTCAACTCCCAACAACCGCCCACACCGGGCGTTTTTCGAACCCAAAAAGACGATTTATATGACCCCGGCGTCACAGAATCTTGAAATTTCAAAAAACCTCATCCATTTGTTGGAACCCCCACTTTTGGAAATTTTTCACTTTCTCCAGTCTGTCCTCAACGAAACACCACCCCACCCTTTCCCTGCCATTCCCCACAACAGAAACAAAAAGAAAAAGACCAATGTCATCAATACTATTCTTTCTAAATATACACAAATCTCGACTAATTATCCATGGGGATTCACCCACTGGCCAAATCATCGGTGGTAAAACACCAGTGTCTTCGCGCGTGCAGTATGTTCAAATTTTTTAGCGGTTGCTTCAGCTTTCACCAAAACCACTCTTTCCAATGGACGGCGCAGAGAAAAACATCGAAATCTGGAAGATCAAGAAGTTGATCAAGTCCCTCGAGCTTGCCCGTGGTAACGGTACCTCCATGATCTCGTTGATCATCCCGCCAGGATCCCAGATCTCCTTGACCCAGAAGAAGTTGACTGAAGAATACGGTACCGCCTCCAACATCAAGTCGAGAGTCAACCGTCTTTCCGTTCTTTCCGCCATCACTTCCACCCAGCAGAAATTGAAGTTGTACACGCACTGCCCCAAAAACGGTCTTGTGCTTTACTGTGGTGATGTCATTACCGATGAGGGTAAGGAAAAGAAGTTGAACATTGACTTTGAGCCTTTCAAGCCAATTAACACGTCCTTGTACTTGTGTGACAACAAGTTCCACGTGGAGGCGCTTTCCGAGTTGCTTCAGGACGACGACCGGTTCGGTTTCATCATCATGGACGGTAATGGAGCTCTTTTCGGTGCTGTTTCTGGTAACAACCGTGAGGTTTTGCATAAGTTTACTGTGGACTTGCCCAAGAAGCACGGCAGAGGTGGTCAGTCTGCTGTTCGTTTCTCCCGTTTGAGAGAGGAAAAGAGACACAACTACGTCAGAAAAGTCGCCGAGGTTGCTGTGCAAAACTTTATTGAAAACGACAAGGTCAACTGTAAGGGTTTGATTTTGGCCGGTTCCGCCGACTTCAAGAACGAATTGTCCAAGTCCGACTTGTTCGACGCCAGATTGCAGGCCCGTGTGTTGAAGATTGTCGATGTTTCTTACGGTGGTGAGAACGGTTTCAACCAGGCCATTGAGCTTTCTGCCGAGACCTTGGCCAACGTCAAGTTCGTCCAGGAGAAGAAGCTTTTGAACACCTACTTCGAGGAGATCTCTCTTGATACCGGTAAGTTCTGTTACGGTATCGAGGACACTTTGAAGGCCTTGGATGCTGGTGCTTGTGAGACCGTCATTGTCTACGAGAACTTGAACATTGTCAGATACACCTTGAAGGACTCCGAGGACCGTGAGGTGATTGCCCACGTGAACCCAGAGTTGGGTGACAAGTCCTACTTGCTCGACAAGGCCACTGGTACCGAGATGGAGACCGTCAAGGAGGAGATGTTCTTGGAGTGGTTGGCTGAAAACTACAAGAGCTTCGGTGCCACTCTCGAGTTTGTCACCGACCGTTCGTCCGAGGGTGCCCAGTTCGTCCAGGGTTTCGGTGGTGTTGGTGCTCTTTTGAGATACAAGCTCAACTTCGAGCAGTTGATTGACGAGTCCGACGAGGACGAGTACTACGACAGTGATGAGGACTTCATTTAAAAGGTGTGGTTAGACGCGGCCTGCCTAGGCCCGCTTCTGTGTATTTTAGAATGCAATTCGGAAACGAGTCCGCTGTAGATGCTTATTTTCTGTTCTTCTTGTTCTTCTTCTGGCCCTTGAGCTCGTCCAACGCCTTCACGGCTTCTCTGCCAAGAACGGTCTCTGATGTCTTGCCGGAAACGATCTGGTGAGCTAGGTTTTCAAGTCCGCTGGTGAGGTACGATCTTCTGTGGTTTTTCCTGAGAGGAACGTTGAGAAGCTCTCTGAGCTTGGCCTTTTCAACCTTGGTCTCGTCGTTTGTGAGCTTCTTGCCGTCGTTTCTCTTTTTCTGCTTTTTGATCACATCGTCCTCGAAATCTTCAATACCGTCAAGGTCCTCGATTCCCAAATCCTCGGCAGCCTGTTTGACCCAGGACGACTCTTTTCTGGTTGCTGTAGATGCAATAGACGAATCTGCCAATTTCGACGCAATACGGACCCTCTCCCTAAGCTGCGTAACAAGGTCGTAATCAATGTCCAACATCTTGAGGTCGCCTTTTCCAGAGACCTTGGAGTGTTTTTCAGCACTGGCAGCCACGAGGTTTCTCAACTTTCTGAAAGGTCCCGAGGCCTCTTGTGGAGAGCAGAACATGACAGAAACACCCTCTTCACCGGCTCTGGCAGTTCTACCAGAACGATGAATGTACACATCAGCTGATCTGGGCAAATGGTAGTGAGCCACATGGTCGATATGTGGAATATCCAAACCTCTGGCTGCCACATCGGAGGCTATAAGCACAGACGTTTTGTTCTTTTCGGTAGAGGCTTTGAAACGCTCAAGAGCACGCAATCTCTGTTTTTGGACCATCGACGAGTGGATGGAGAATGCTGGGATTTTGAGGTTTTCGAGGAAAGGAACAAGCCTCTTGACGGAGTCCACGGCATTAGCAAAGACAAGCGTAGATCCAGGGTACACAAGCAAAAAATAGTACAAGAAAAGGTCTCTTTCTGCTGCACCACACTCAACAAGCGCTTCTGTGACTTGACCGGAAACGATCTCCTTGGGGTTGGCATCACAAAGCGATGGCTTGGGGTCCTTGAATCGAAGCTTTTTGGATAAAAGATCGAGAATCTCTGTGTTGCCGATAAGGCCTCCACTGTAGGCTTTCTTCTCCTTCTGCTTGCCCTTCTTGTCAAGCTTACCGAAAAGGTCCTTGGAGAATGTGGCAGAGAAGACTAGAGTCTGCCACTTGTAGCCGTACTTTTTGCTATCTCTGCTTTTGATGAAAAGCTCAAGAATCTTCTCAAACTCCTCAAAGTGTCCGTCCTGCAATAATCTATCAGCTTCGTCAAGAACAACGGTGTCTGTAGCACCGAGTCTAGCAGCCAAGTCGGAGTTTTTCTCTATAAGTTCCAAAAGACGACCTGGGGTGGCCACAATAATACTAGGGCCATATTCCAACATACGCTCCTGTTTCTGGATCGAAAGACCTCCAGTAATAGAAACAATACCATGCTGAGAAAGCGGAGCGTACTTTGAGATTCTGTTCAAGTGATCAACAACCTGGTGTGCCAATTCTCTGGTAGGCGCAAAGATTATACCAGAAGGAGGGGGGATTTCTTCTTTGGCACGGGTCTCCTTGATTTCGTTCAACTTCTGGATGTGTCTTTCGAGAATCGGAAGTCCATAAGCTAGGGTCTTACCGGAACCGGTTGTAGCTTTACCAATGACGTCTTTGCCTTCGATAGCCAAAGGAATGGCCAATTTCTGAATAGCAGTTGGGGTTTTGAAACCAAGCAGCTGGAGACCGTTTAGAAGATACGGACTGAGAGAAACCGAGTTCCAGTTGGGTAAATCGATATCGTCATCTGGAAGGGGAATGTCCAAACCAGCAAATGCGTTGGCACTGAGGTTTCCGTCATTGTCGTCGTTGTCTTCAAGAGCCTTTTCCCTGGCTTCCTTGGCCTCGAGCTTCTTCTGTTTAAGTTTCTCCTTCTTTTCCTTGAGCTTGGCCTTGTTCTTCTCCTTCTGCTTGGCTTTCTTTTCGTCCTGGGGGCTCATTTTAGTGTCTTTTTCTTCAGACTCCCCTTCCTTGGCTTCCTCTTTCTGCTCCTCCTTCAGCTCCTGCTTGTTCTTCTTCTGCTTCTTCTTCTTGGGCTCATCGAAACCCAAAAACTCGTCATCGGAGGCCTCCAAATCGCTCTCTCTGGAAACAAACTCGGCCTTACCGTTCACCATCTTCACATCCACACCCTCAAGCTCTTCAATGCCAAACAAACCACCGTAGTCTTCCATGTGGTCTGGAATGTCCACTGGCTTCCATTTGAGGGCATCAGCCGTGATGATTTTGTTGGTTCTGCGCTGCTTTTGTTTCATCGTGGGCGTGACCTTCTTGGCCAGCAGCTTGAAGCTGCGTTTTCCCTGCGGAGGCATTGTTAAATTTCGAAAGTGGTTGGAATCTAGGATTATGGGGTAGATGGATCTGAAAAGCTCGAGATGAGCTCGCGTGATACTGGGCACGTGCAGACCAGAACTCCCTATTTCAACGTGATTTCACGGTTTCTGTAGATTTTACATTGATATTTGAGGCTAAATAATGGAAACTTCAAAAATTGTATTGTTTTTGGTACTTTGGTGCATATCTATACCCACCACCCTGATCCTCCTACCAATGCGAATCAACATACAACTACATGCTAAAACGTCCAAAGACGATAAGTTCGTCTGCAGGGGTGCAGCGGAAACCGAAGCTCAAGCCCCAGAAAGCCCGCAAGATTATACGACGTTTCCATGTTTTGCAGAAAAACAAAACGGCGCTTTTGAGAATCCTAGACCTTGATGAATCGGACTACAAGGACAAGCTAGGATCGGTGTACACTAAGGAGTTCGAAACATTCAAGCTTCCAAAGAAGCCTGAGCTCTTCAAGTTCGATAATACAACCGCCAAATCTGAAATATCCAAAATGCTAGGCCGCATTGATAAGGAGGTGGAACTAAGAGGAGGACTCCATATATACCAGATGGCTTCTACGGTGGGGCAGGCTTCTGAACGTGGAGGCGACTCTTCAAAGAAACTAGTTGAATGGTATAAGGAGCTCGGACGAACGGCTACCAAGAGCTTGGAGATCGGGTGTCTCAGTCCCAATAACCAGATTTCCACCAGTGGGTTGTTTGGTGAAGTCACGAGAATTGACTTGAATTCGCAGGATCCAAAGATTCTCCAGCAAGATTTCATGGAAAGGCCGTTGCCTGTGGATGATACAGACCGTTTTGATCTCATACTGTGTTCGCTCGTGTTGAACTTTGTTCCTTCTGCTGAAAAGAGAGGCGAGATGTTGAAGAGGATGGCCCAATTTTTGCTTCCTGTTGGTGAAACACCCCTGAGTGTTTTCATGGTTTTGCCGTTGCCGTGTGTGTCGAATTCTCGGTATATGAGCAGGGAGTTGTTTTTGGAGGTTATGGGCAAAGTGGGTTTTTCTCAAGTGAAGTATCACGAAGCCAACAAGGTGGCATACTGGCTCTTTGACTGGGATGGAAAGAAGCCAAAGGCCGGGAAAAAGGAGAAGAAGAAGGAGATTCTTCCGGGTGCAACGAGGAACAACTTCTACATCGCCCTAGGGTGAGCCATCCCTGCTATTAATGACAATTTAACTTATAAAGATGATTTTGTCTTCTGGCAGATTAATTGACAATTGAATCTTTTGCCCAGAGGTAGAAGGCTCATGTGATGCCCCTTCAGTGAAGCCAAGTATCGAAAGCCTGTTTAGCCAAGTAACGAAAGTCTACTCGGCATGATTCAAAAAGCGGAATTGAACTCCCTGCAACATAACCAACACATCACGATTCTGCATCAAAATCCCAATTCCACGGAATCCAACCCTTCTAATCCCTCGAGGACCGTATGACTACTCGTGTGATCTTCTAGAAGCGGAGTCAAGCACGGCTATACAGACATATCGATATGATCAAACTGGCACAATGGTTCATCGTGCATTCGAGATCGATCTGGACCTGCTGATATTATTTCTAGAAGTCCGGGGAAAACTGAATCCAGAATTCTCTCATACACTGTACCCCACAATTTCACCTAAGAAATGTACCATCAGACCATCGTTCGCCTCGAGTCTGGAGGTAGCAAAAGAAATTCACATATGTCTGAAAATATTCCTGTTTGAGCAATGAAACTCTGTCACGTCCTGCGAGAAGCGATAAGTGATCTCTCATTGAAATTAAAGAGAAATGGGAAAAGCGAGCGATTGGTCAAACCTTAAAGTGGTTGCCACCTAGTTGACGTTTTTTCTTTTATTCCATTGACAGCTTCTCTAATGCTTCACCGTTGTGAGCTGATTTGTTACCCACTTCTACAAACTTGCGTGGTGTGGTATGCGCTTAAGCGAGATTCTTGCGTTTTGGACCCTTTCAAAAGAAAGCAGTGAAACAGGGCGACCTTGCTTGCTTTGGTCCGTTTTCTTTCTTTTTTTCCCATTTATTTTTACCTACTTGCACCGTCAGATCATTCATCCCAGGTACCTGAAATTGAGCGTCTGGTGATGCCTGCAAATCCCTCAGCAAGACATGCAGGTATCCGGAAAAACTTTCGATCTTTTCAGACGATTCGATGCAGCTGGCAAGTCGGCAACTAAAACCTCCGTTAAACTGACCATTTTTTTGATGGCAAGGCAATTGTGTCGTACGGCCGTTCGGACTTTTACAGGTCCTGTGTGAAGGAGCGCCGTTTTGACATCATGGTTTGTTCCGGTGTGCCTCGAGACTAATTGCAACGTCGATCGATGTTCCATTTTTCCGCCCTCCAGCAAGCCCCCCACATACACTGTGATGTCCCCCAGGTACTCCCCACTTACCTGAAAGAATCCGAAGTACAGAAAAAAAAAGACTCGGAATGTAAATTCAACCCGGTATGCGTTTGAAGCCTAAAGTTGACATACCATGCCACGGACACCGAAAGAGGTTTTTCCGGGCTTCATGCCTTACGAGCTTCCCGACGCCGCTCCTCGTCTAG